AATATTTATTAATATTTATTAATATAGCAACTGATAATTTACGGGGGGGGGAGAGTAGGAAAGGGTAAAATTCCAGAGAGCAAAAAGTATTCTTACACCCACTTATACAATTATATTAAAATTATATTAAATTATATACAATTATATTAAAAAAGGGAAATTATACAAAGGGGAACAATTTATACCAGTTTTCGAAGATATCTGTCGTTACTAATCTTCCATTTTCTTGGACCTTCTCTTTAGAGTTACTAATTTTATAGGTTTGATATTATTCTGCCAAGTTTATATCTTTTGCTCTAAATCAATGTTATAACCATTGCTTTGTGTCTATTTTATCATATATTCTTTCACCATAAAATAGCCTCTTAAATTTAACATTTTCATCTTTTGATCATCTATAGCAGGGGTGTCAACCCCCAGTCCACAGCCCGGTGCTGGTCTGTGGACTTGCCGGAACTGGGCTGTGGTTCCGGATCTGTGGTGGATACAATGGCTGTGGCATGCTCATGTGGTAGGCATGTCACACTTGTGGTGGGTGTGTCACGCTTGCTCACATGCGCATGAGCGTGACACCCCCCCCGCAACTGTGACACACCCCCATGAGCACAACGCTTCCCCCCATATGGAGCCCACTCCCCCAACCTGTCCTTGGCCCCAAAAGATTTGGAGACCACTGATCTATAGCACATGTTGTCTATATTTCTTTTTCTGCCAAATTTATACCTGTTGCTCTACATCAGTATTCTTCATCTTCCATCTTATTGACCATTTATTTGGATCTCCTCGCAAGAGCTTCATGTACTGTCACTTTCTTTGTCCCATCTGCCACAACAGTGATTGATTGGGCATTGTAGCAGCCCTCCACCTTCTCTGTTTGTTTTCCTTAACTCCCAGATTAGCCTTTGGGTGCTACTTACAATTTTCACCTTTTATACGCTGCCACCAAAGGCTTTTCCTCAAGCTATCAAATTTTAATAATGAGTCACAGCTCTCAACATTAACAAGGTTTATTTACAGGATATCAATCAGACATGGAAATCAAAGCTGGTCTTATTTTATTCATTTAATATATATTCTTTTGATTTGAGATATGCTGGCATAGTTAGATTTTCTTTAATCACGATGTTACTATACTATATTAGTTTCTTTTATTATTATTACTATTCGTTCAGTTATTAACCACCCAAATTTTCCAAGACTTGTCCTATTCCTATCTCTTTCAATCCCTCCCTCTATTTCTCTTCTCTCTAACACAACCAAGGCCTTGTCTTAAACTGTCATTAACTGTTTTTTTTGTCTCCTTTTATTCTCTTGGTTCCACCCCTCCTGTCATAGGCCATACTAGAGCTCTGACTTGACTGACAGGAGTGATCTGAGAGCTGTCCGTCACAGGCATCCTTCAGCCTCGAGAGACTACGGTAACGTGCTCTGTATGGAGGACTTGGAACAGCATCTAGTGTGGCTCAGAAGGCCAATTCAAGAGTGACAATCCCTTCCACACTGAAGACAAAGACAATCTGTCCCCTGTCCAGCTCCCTGATTTTACTGGTTTTGGGACTGCCTCCTTGCCTCAGCCTGCTGGACAACTGTCTCTTCAAATTGGGAGAGGCAGAAGCTTGGAACTGATCCCCATGGTTACTGTAGTCCTACTGTTGTGGCTGCTAACAGCATACAAAGCCTATCCTAGTGAGTACAACTTGCAGGCTCTTCGAGTTGCTCGTAGCAAAGTCCAACAAGCTGTCAGGCGATGTTCCAATGATTATTGGCTTCAGCTCTGCTGTCAGATACAGATAGCAGCAGACATAGGTAACATCAAGGGAATGTATGACGGTATCAAGCAGGCTTTAGGGCCAATACAGAAGAAATCTGCTCCCTTGAGTCTGCTACAGGCGGGATCATCCAAGACCGAACACAGCAGATGGAACGGTGGGGACAGCACTACTCTCAGCTATATTCCAGAGAGAATGTAGTAATCAAAGAGGCATTAAATAACCTTGAGTGCCTGCCTGTATTGGAAGAGTTGGACAGCGAACCAACTTTAGCAGAAATAAAAGTGGCCTTGGATTCCCTCACCTCCAGCAAGGCCCCTGGGAAGGATAACATCCCTGTTGAACTGCTGAAGTGCTGTGAAGAGATCACCACTGAACTGTATGAAGTCTTTCGTCTTTGTTGGAAGGAAGGGGGAGTACCACAGGGCATGAAGGATGCAAACATCGTCACATTGTATAAGTTCTTTATTTTGGTGCCATGTATAAATGTATCAGAATTTGACATGATCTCACTCTTATGCCTTAGGG